GGTCAATTCCATCCATTCACTGGAGGCAATATTTCCATGAATAGCTACTTCACATTTAGCATTCGACTCACAAAGAAGCAGTTGAGAAGTTTCATTGCCAGGGCAAAAAGTCAAGATGGAAAATACTTCGACCTCAGCCTCATTTCCACCCTCAGAAATCTGTTCAAGTATTCATTCAGGCCACCAACCCCAGGGCAATACACCCTTGAATTCAGTATTGATGACCACACACTGAAGCTACCACAACTTCCAAGTGCTCTTTTCTTCACCGAGGCTGAAGTAGATGCAAAGAAAGTAAAAGTTTTCACACATACAATTTCAGGCCTCCTTCTCATTGATCGAGAGATCCTATTCCAGATTGATACCCGACTGGCAGGAAATGGAAGAATAAAAGCAATTCTTGAAGGTCCATCCCAAGATATCCCTGGTGTACGTATTGTTGCTACGCCAGGTCAACCAAATTTCTTCAACATCTTCTTCACTCCTGTTGTGGCTGGCACATACCGTCTTGAGCTGCTGTGGAGTGACACAATGGTGCCTGGTTTCCCTCTTGCTCTTTATGTTACAGAGCCAACTATCAAGTATGGGGAGTCGTCATCTTTTGACATACAAATTGACAGTGAAGCAAAAAATATTAGCTCATTTGCCAATCATGTAGACATCGGAGAAAGGTATGAAGTTGAGATTTATCAAGTAAGCAAACGAAGGTACCAGTTCAAGTTCAACCCCAAGATATCAGGCAAGTACAACCTGCATGTTCTTGTCAATGGAAACGATATCAGTGGAAGTCCCTTCCAACTCACCTATGACCATCTACCTCAAGCTGGCAATGTTGTCGTCACAAAACTTCCCAAAAAAGCACAAGTTGGCTCCGAGGTAAAGTTTTTCATCAACACACAGAGAGCTGGTAATGGTCACCTCAATATCAAGATAGACGGCCCGGAGCACACAGATATTCATCTAACAGAGTTCTTACCCGGTGCACTTAAGGCTGATTTCACTCCAAGCATTGAAGGTGTGTACATTATCAAAATCACATGGTCAGGAAAGGACGTTCCCAACAGTCCATTTGAGGTAACTGTCAGTGACGGTCACCCAGAAATCGGAGAAATTGAAATTCCAAAATCACCACCCATAGTTGGTCCTGGTGGTACTCCTCCTCTTTTCCAGATGAAATTCCAAGCTAACCAGTCATAGTCAACCCCGAGCATAGTGTTCCTCCACCACAACCTTCAATAATTCAATCTGACCTTATTATATTTGGTAAGACACATATCCTGGGAAATTGTCATTCAGCATCATTCACCATGGCTTCCCGGACAAGCTCGCTATTCGATTCACTGGATCCACTGAGCTCCCATATAAGGTCATAAAGGGTCAGAGGGCAAACAAGTATGAAATCGATCCCGAAGACTGCAGGAAAGTATGAGATGGGTCATCCTATGGGAGTGGCAGTGTAGTGGGGGAAGTGTGCACACTGTATTTCGAGTTGCCCAAGACCATCAGTGGTTTCAATATGCAAGACCAGGTGTTCCAGGTGGGCAAGTCCTACCAGTTTACCATCACTACTGATGACATATCCACTGGTGCCTTGGAAATCAGTTGTATGACCGCGTGACGCTGCCGACATTGTGTGCACAGCTGTCACATCGACACAATATCAGTGCTCTCTAATTCCAAGGAACACGGGAGATGTCAAAATTGCTGCCTCCTACGATGGATTCCAGATCCAGGGCAGTCCTTTTGTGGTACACTTCAAAGCTGCCACTGCCTTCAGCTGCAAGTTTGGCCTTCAATCTGAGGGAATCGAGATCAACGACATATCGGCCGTGCTGGAAAGCATTGCTACGCAGCAACCAATTCCCCTCTCACTACAACAGCTCTTCGGAGGTGAGTGCAACCTAGACTTTGTACCAACCGAAGGGGATGAGTACAAACTCACGATAACCTGTGGCCTCAAGATTAAGAGAGAAACGATGGCTGGCTCTCCGTTCAACCTCACCCACCTCACTGGTCAAGGAGGTGCATCAATGTGTCGCATCGAGGGAGGGATTTCTGGTGGAGTTGTGGGTGAGTGGAGCAAGTTTGTGGTCAACTGTGAAGGTGCTGGTTCGGGGAAACTGTCAGCCATTATTTCAGGGGAAGGTGCTGAGGTGAAAGTGGTCTCACTGTCTGAGTACGTGTATGAAGTTCACTACCGTATTAGTGCTGCTGGGACGTACCAGTTTAGATTGTTGTGGGGAGGTCAAGATATACCTTGCAGCCCATTCAACATGACCGTAGAATCCACATCTTCATCATCATCACTGACATCAGTGAAGGTCACAAATGTTCCAAAGGAAGTAGTGCTCAAACAAGCAATCGAGTTTGAGCTTCACATCCAAGTGTCTGGAAAAGAAGGAAACTTGACAATTGCAGTAAACACCCCATCGGGTAAAGACGTTGAATGGGAGTGTGGCTTCGAGAGATCATGGCTACCACGTCAGCATCCCCACCAAAGAGACTGGCTACTATTCAATCACCATCAACTACATGGGCAAGGCTATACTTCAGCCATTTAAAGTCCGTGTACTTGACAAAGGTGAGTGTTATCTATCACACACACCCAAACACACTGTCAGTATACTGTAAATCCTGAAATGCTGTCATCCTTTAAATTTGCGTTTTTGCTGTGAGGCATGTTTTGGCGTCCATTTTAGCGAAACGATGGGCAAGAGGAGACTTCATGATGTCCGAGCCTTGGTCATAATGCAACAATATAGCAGTTCTAAAACGGATTTTAGCAGTAATAGAGTACCTTGCGATTTCCACCTCCTTCTGTGTTCAGCCTCTACAACCATTAAACTCCCTGTACATTTAGGCGTGCTTTGACGCAAAACTGGCAATGTGTGCGTAGTGCATGCACAGTTTTTAGTGTCCATTTACTTTTAGCGAAAAAGCAGATGCCAAATTCCATCAATGGCACGCTAATATTTTTCGGATTTACAGTACATGAACAAACAACGAGCTTAATTTTGTAAAGTTTTGAGTGCATTTTCAATTCTCATACACACAGGTAAAGGTTCCCCTTAAAAGTTTTGATTTCTGAAAATGAACAATGAAACTCTGATAGCAGACTGAAGTAGAATTCATATAATTGCTAGTTTGTTGTATAATTATTATTACATCTGACTTGCTAGTTAAATTTATTGCGCAATCTACGTTACTATCCAGATACACTATTGTCTGAAAAGAAGGGATGTTCCTTGTCATAAACTGCTACTTCAGGAAATTTGGAAAACCTTTAAATGTACAGGCGTTATTGATACTAGTTTTGTATATGGCTATAATGATGTCCATTTACAAGGAAGTACATGCCCAAAAACCTATACAACATTATACGTACCTACAACAAAGGGCAGCAGCAGCAATTAGTAAGTTAGTATTGACTGTGTCCTTCTGCAATCATCTTGTGAAACAATGGTCTCTATTGCAGGCAAGGATCTAAAACTGTGACTGTGTCTCACTCAATAAATCACCCATATTTCAATTATATACTTACACCCATGTCCTGTCCACATACAGTTTTGTGCATCCCACTGTGGGGCGCACTGTAAACCCATATTATCCACTAGACTCTATTTTTTGCGGAGAAAAGCATGCCACTCAGTGTGTGTGTGTGTTGTGACACAACCGACCATGCGCATGCGCAAAAATCATGTAGAGTAGTTTAAAGGTCGCTTTACACACATCTGTACCTAATACCTCAATCACACCTCTCTGGTTCTTTTTTGTTGTTGCACTTAGTGTGGCTATATCTTTCGGAAAGACTTTGCTGTATGTACGTGTGTATACTGTATCTGGTACAGAACCCTTGGGCCAGTCATCCAAACTGTGGGTTTTAGTGTGCTCCACACTAACCTACTAACCATTGTGGTTACATCATGTCCATTACTCTTAAAAACCAGTCTGACAAGAATTTGTACTGCTGTAAAATGGCCCTGAAGTATTACGCATTGCCAAACACTAACAGCCATAGAGTATTATAGCACATTGGCCTATGAGACGCTGGGAAAGCCTCACGCAGTAATTGCAACACACGTGATACATTTTAGTGAGCCACATACATACATTACAGACTCGTGCTAATAATGTGCTTAGCAATATTGTTGGAACCCCTCCATTAATTGCCTACTCTGTGCTAAGTATCCTACTTGATCCTTATAGTGTGACAAGCACAGATACTGCATGTGCACCTACATGTCAAAGCTTTTAGTTTTCCCTCTCCATCTCTTTCCCTTCTCCTTCTCTTTCCCCATCCTTTTTCTAGTGCTTCACACCTATAATTATACGCTCGCGCGCACGCTCGTCAACGAGCTCCCCGCGAGCGTTCCGCGCCAAATTGCGCGTGCGTATTTCCCGGCGAGGAACGCCGCGCCAGGACGGCTGATGGGCTGGCACTACAACGCCGGACTACGACGGGCCATCTGGACCAACCTCACTCGGTACGTTGTGCTCCTGACTCCCACATGACTCATGGATTCTACAGTGAGTGAGTAGTGGGACAACACCACCAGGCGTCCGTTATCCGGTCACGTTTCTTGTGCGCACTCACAAGTTCTGCTGTGATGTAGAGAAGCAGCTAAACCACAACAAATAGACGAATTTGACATGATGTATGGGGTAGGCTATAGTCATGTGATTAGATTATACGCGGTACGTGAGTGAGAATTTCTGTATCCACAGTGTTAACCCTCGGCGCGCATGCGCAGCGAGGGTTACAGTAGTTGGGTCTGTCTGTGTGTCTGTACTCTTCATCTCGTTCTTTCGTCTCACAAAGGATACCACCTACCGAACGGGCAATGAAGGTCAGAAATTTCGAAAGGTTTTCTCTGAAAACGCTCCGTTGCAAAGCTAGAGCGCTTCCACCATTATACGGCTAATGCGTAGTCGGCCATTTTTATCGCTGCGGAACCGGAAAATGCGCATGCGCTTATATTTAGCACCGGACCGGGTCTGCTTGCTGTGTATTTTGAAGGCACAAAAAGTCACAACGAAGGGCGTGTATCGACTCTCGCATGCTAATCTACTACTATAGCTAGCCCGTGTCAGACTCTCTGCGAGCTATATTATACTAGCGGGAGACCGCATACTAATATACCGCGCATGCACAGTTCGCCGAGGGTTTGCACTTCAGTGCTTTTCATTGGATAAGTAACTATTCAGCTATAATACTGGGTATATACAGCCCAATGTTGTTTTCAGTGCAAGTACATTAGCTAAATACAACTATACATATTATAGTCAATGGAAGTCGATTTTCCAGTCAGGTTTCAAGGGGGCTTGTGCCTGTAGTGGTATAATGGGGTAAGGTTATAAATCAACAGGATGACCTGTGTCATCCCATACTAAGTACTACCATACTTAGTGATAATTATCTATGAGGTAGAAAGGCAAAGGCACAACAAACAAATCAACTACACCTAGGTGGGATTCGAACCCACGACACTCTGCAGTCTAGGCGAGCACTCTACCAACTGAGCTACCAGGGCAACTCCCAGCTGGTAGCTAGGGGTTGGAATCTACAACACAACACAACACAAGGCAAACCTCCAACCACTGTGCTATGTATGACCATCTTACCGGTATCAACAGTACTCCCCTCTTCTATGTTCATAGCCTCAGTAAGTTCTTCGATTTCTGGTGGTGAAATATCCTCAACAACTGGTTGGGTTTGAGTGGACTGTATGGGGCCCACTCTGACTTTCGATGGCTTAGGCAGAATCGACCGCCCCTCGCTATAGGCAGCAATGGAGTATTCACCAGTCTCACTTGTTGGAATACTGACGTGAAAGCCTTGCTCACATGGGGCTAAATATCCACTGATTTTTCTGCCTGATTCTATGGTAGCTTCAAAAGTCAGGTCTTCGCCGCTCTCCACTTCAATCTCACAATCAATTTCAATATTCTCTGTAGCTTCAACTTGGCTTGGAATGTCAAGCCTTATTGATGACAATGATGGGTTTGGTTCGGCAGAAATAGTGAAAGGGCTACCAGGTATATCCTGACCTTCCCACAACAACTTTAGTTGGTGTTCTCCGCTAGCACAAACATTGATATGGACTTCATTCATGGATTCAGACAGTGAGACCACTTTCACCTCAGCACCTTCCCCTGAAATAATGGCTGCCAGTTTCCCCGAACCAGCACCTTCACAGTTGACCAAAAACTTGCTCCACTCACCCACAACTCCTCCAGAAATGCCTCCCTCGAGCCGGCACATTGATGCACCTCCTTGACCAGTGAGGTAGGTGAGGTTGAATGGAGAGCCAGCCATCGTTTCTCTCTTAATCTTGAGGCCACAGGTTATCGTGAGTTTGTACTCATCCCCTTCGGTTGGTACAAAGTCCAGGTTGCACTCACCTCCAAAGAGCTGTTGTAGTGAGAGAGGAATTGGTTGCTGCGTAGCAATGCTTTCCAGCACGGCCGATATGTCGTTGATCTCGATTCCCTCAGATTGAAGACTAAACTTGCAGTTGAAGGCAGTGGCAGCTTTGAAGTGTACCACAAAAGGACTGCCCTGGATCTGGAATCCATTGTAGGAGACAGCAATTTTTACATCTCCCGTCTTCCTTTGGAATTAGAGAGCACTGATATTGTGTCGATGTGACAGCTGTGCAGACAATGTCGGCAGCGTCACGCGGTATACAACTGATTTCCAAGGCACCAGTGGATATGTCATCAGTAGTGATGGTAAACTGGTAGGACTTGCCCACCTGGAACACCTGGTCTTGCATATTGAAACCATGGATGGTCTTGGGCAACTCGAAATACAAGGTGTACACTTCCCCCACTACACTGCCACCCCATAGGATGACCATATCATACTTTCCTGCAGTCTTGGGATCGATTTCATACTTGTTTGCCCTCTGACCCTTTATGACTTTGAATGGGAGCTCAGTAGACCCACTAAATTGAATAGTGAGCTTGTCCGGGAAGCCATTGTGAATAATACTGAATGACAATTTCCCCAGGGTGTGCCTCTTGCTAAATATAATCATATCAGACTCAATAATTGAAGGGAATATGTCGTGTCGAGGGGATAAAGGAAAAGCAGGTGTAGATATAGGAGAGATACTTGGACCATCTATCGTTGGAGGAATAAACAAGTCTCCTGGATGAAAATCGACAACATTGAGCTCGAATGGACTTTTTGGAACCTCCTCGTCAGACCATGTTACCTTGATTGTGTACACACCGGTAGTGACAGGAGTAAACTCAGCTTTGTATACCCCAGCTGATTGTTCATTCAGCTGCATTTCTACTGACTCTGGACCTGTTATCTTGATATTGAGGTGACCATTACCAGCTCTCTGTGTGTTGATGAAAAACTTTACCTCGGAGCCAACTTGTGCTTTTTTGGGAAGTTTTGTGACGACAACATTGCCAGCTTGAGGTGGATGGTCATAAGTGAGTTGGAAGGGACTTCCACTGATATCTTTTCCATTGACAAGAACATGCAGGTTGTACTTGCCTGATATCTTGGGGTTAAACTTGAACTGGTACCTTCGTTTGCTCACTTGATAAATCTCAACTTCATACCTTTCTCCGGTGTCTACATGATTGGCAAATGAGCTAATATTTTTTGCGTGGGTGTCAATTTGTAAGTCAAAAGATGATGACTCCCCATACTTGATAGTTGGCTCTGTAACATGAAGAACGAGAGGGAAACCAGGCACCATTGTGTCACTCCACATCAGCTCAAGACGGTATGTGCCAGCCACAACAGGAGTGAAAAATACGTCATAGAAATGTGGTGTATCTGGTGTTGGAGCAAGACGTAGATCGGGTACATCACCAGAGGGGCCTTCAAGACTTGCTTTGAGTTTTCCATTTCCTGCCAGTCGGGTATCAATCTGGAAGAAGATCTGGCGATCAATCAGTAGAAGGCCAGAAATTGTATGTGTTAGAACCTTCAGTTTACTTGCATCAACTTCAGCCTCAGTGAAGAAGATAACACTAGGAAGTTGTGGGAGCTTCAGTGTGTGGTCACTAAGACTGAACTTGAGGCCGTATTGCCCTGGAGAGGGTGGCTTAAATGAATACTTAAACAGATTTCCAGTTATTTTCAAGAGACTAAAGTCGAAGTAGATTCCATCTTCATCGATTGCTTTGGCAATGAAAATCTTAGCCTGCTTCTTTGTAAGTTGAATGTTGAATTCAAAGTAGCTATTCATTGAAGTATGAACTTGATCGCCTCCAGTAAAAGAAGTGGATTGGCCTGTAAGGTCAACCACAGATACATTGGTGACTGGAATGTCATATTCTGTTGGTGTCTTTACTTGCAGTTTGTAAGGACTCCCACCAATCTCCTGGCCAGACCAGGTGATACTAAAGCTGTATTTGCCTTCTGTAGTTGGTACATATACTGTGGTAAATGTACCATTCCTGTTATCAACTACAGCCAAACTCTTCTCTGACTTGTTTGGCTCTGTCACCTTAGCTTCCAGAGTACCCTCCCCACCCTCGGTGCAGTTGATGATCACGGATATTTCCTCGTTCAAGTACCCAACAGTGGGGAGATTGTGTACACGACACTTCTTGGGCCATGACTGCTGGGATACGTAGACAGGAATTGGACTCACATCCAGCTCTTCTCCATTCACAAATATGTGGATGAAGTATTGACCTGGCTCTTTGTGACTGAAGATGAATCTGTAGAGATGAGTCTTGACCTGCTTGACAGTCACCTTCAGTTTCTTGGTGCTGTCTCGCCTCAAGGCATATGCCTGTATGTCAGTTGGACCACACTTGATCTCCATGTCATCTATGGTCACCTTCTTCCCTGGTAGAGTCTTCACTGAAGAGCTGGTGTCAACTACTCTTATTTTCAGTGGGGAATTAGGTATGTGCTCTCCATTCCAGAAGAGGGAGAGGATGTAGAGACCTGGAGCTGTGGGGACAAATGAGACAGTGTAGGTCCCCAGCTCTCCGTCTCTTGCTTGAACATCCACTTTTGCTTGTTTTGGGCCTTTAACCTCTGCTCTGAGGGTCCCACTCCCTCCCTTCATTGGATTAATCACCAGGGACACCTCCTTGTTGATGTCTAGGACTGAGAGGATGTCCTCCAGACCAATGATGTTGACTCTCGATGGGTCAGAAGGTGGATCAGAGTAGTGGACTGTGAATGGACTCTGAGGAACTGGATCTCCATTGACACTGATGTTGAGGGTGTAGGTGTCTGCTGATTTGGGATTGAAGGTTACTCTTTTGGAATATTGATCTACGTGGATACGACTCTCTCCTACTTTCTTTCCAACAGCAGTAGCCATTATTCCCCTACCTCCCTCTGCTTGAGTTTCCTGTGACTTGATTCTCACAATGAAAGCAGTTCCTATGACTGCATTGTACTGGCTAGATTTTTGAGAATCTGAACTTTTTGAATCTATCGTAATATCACGACTTTCTTTGCGCTTTGCTTTATTATCAGGTACACGGAGATCAAGATCAAATGGAGACCCTTTGATGTGCTTGCTATTATAAAACACACTGATTGTGTAGATATCTGGTCCTTGTGGTTTGAAACTAATACGGTAGTTATTAGCCGAAACTGGAACAAGATTGACAGCAATTACACCATATGTTTGGCTTGTACACGTCACTTTCATAGCACTGGCATCTTCAATTCTTGGGGTACTTAAAGGTATCTCAATGGGATGTTTTCCAATATCATGAGGCGGCTTTAGGTCATAAACAAACGGGGAGTTTGGTACTTCTGTTCCACTCCACTGGATATACAGAGTGTATTGGCCAAAGGAGAGGGGCAGGAAGGATATCCTATACACGCCATGACGAACCGTTGTGATTTGTACTGGAATTTTCTTACTGACTTCCCCTCTGCATGTGGCAGTGAGTACTCCCATGCCTGCTCCACTCATGTCTACTTCATAGTACACATACTGGCCGATTCGTACACTGCCCATCTCTGGAGCTACTACCACTGCTTTGTTTGCATGAGGCCTAGTGTCGATTTTGAATGGTGAGCCAGGGACATGCTGCCCATGAAACAGGACAGACCACAGGTACAAGGCCGGCTCTTCAGGCTCAAAAGATAGTGAAAACACATTTGGAGAGACTTCTTTTACTTGAACACTGACTGTTTGTTCCTCAAACTTGCAGTAGGACACTAGTTTGCCGCTTGGTAGACCTGAAGTATCAATATTGAGTTTAATTTGCCCTCCTGGTCCTTCGGGAAAGTTGTGGCCCTGTTATGATGGTTTTCTCTACTGGAATAGAGCATAAGTTGAAGTTGAATGGAGAACCTTTAATGTGGTGCATTCCTAGCTTAACTACTAGGGCGTAGAGGTCTTCAACCAGAGGCTTAAAGGAAAGTTCAAACTTTCCTTTAGCTTTGCCTTTTGAGACCAAAACAGGTACTTCACCACAGCTTGTCCCCTCGCAAGTGGCAGTGAGATCGTTACTGCCTGCCTTTGTGGTGTCGACTTCCATCGCGATTGACTGGCCAATCTTCACTAGTGTGTGTGTTGAATGAGTAAAGCCTACAGCCTGAGGGTCACAGACTGTCAGTTGCAGTGGGGTGCCTGGGATTAGCATCTGGGCAAACAGCAACTCCAATGAGTGAACTCCTACAATCGATGGGGTGTAGGAGACAGTGTATATGGCAGGATTGTCATCGTGTTCGTCTATTTCAATGGCGTGTGTCTCTGTCTTTGACTTTGGAGGTTTGACATTGACTTTCAGCTCTCCCACTCCTGCATCCTGAGTGTTGACGACAAAGTGTACGGTTTGACCAACAGCTATTACGGAAGAAATCTTGTTCCATCCATCTATTCTTATTTCGTTCACATTCAGCTTTGGTACTTCATATGTGATAGTTCGTGGACTGTCAGCCACATGTTTCCCATTGACAAGGGTAAAGATGGTGTACATATCTGATTTGGTTGGTCTGAAAGTTGCGCGGTACACTCTCTCTTGTACTTGAATGAGAAGGACTTCCACTGGACCAGTTACATCACCAACAACTGTGACTTCCAACTTCCCTTCTTGTTCAGTGAGATTTATGATCCAGGAAAATGGTCGTCTAACAATTATATCTGTAGATGCTAGTTCCTGTACAACCTCTTTCACTACTATTCCACTGTCTCGTTTAAAGGTACCACTATCAATGATCTCACTCTCATACATGGTGGACTCTTTCCTTACTGGTGTTTTTACCGATCCACTGTCACTACCAGAGTCTACTTCATTAGCGGAGCTGACTGTAATTAAGAATGGGGCTACCAAGGATCTCCTCTTCACCCCATGTTATTTTTAAAGAAAACTTGCCAGGAGAAGAAGCTGAGAAGGAGATTGTGTATATCTCATCTTTAAAACTTGTGATTTTTGTATTTGCTCGTCCTGAAGCTTTGAGAGTTTCAATCTTTAGTGGACCAACACCAGCATCAGATACATCAATCTTGAATTGTACTACTTCATTTACTGTTGCTTCTCTGTTGATATCATAAACCACAACACTTTCAGGACGTGAAGGTCTATCGTATTTAAACCGAAGAGGCCTACATACTTCTTTTCCCTTCACATTCAGAGCTATCTCATATGTGCCTTGCTGCTTTGGCTGTAGACTGAACACGTACTTTCCTTTCGTTTGCTTTCTTTTTACTGTGTAGGTGTCTCCCGTGTCAAGATGAGTGCCTACACTCCGAATTTCGCTCAACTTTAATTTGGCTGCTGGGATTATGTGGACTGCTTCCTGGCCTGTCGGAACAACTGGCGGCTCCTTTACTTCAATTATTAGTGGAGAGTGCGGGACGGCAGTATCAACCCATAGCACATGCAGAACATGCTTCCCTATAGTTTGTGGAATGTATCGAGCAATGTATTTATCACTTACTTCTTTCTTTACACTAACAGTAATTCTGTCTTCTCCTGGAACCTCTGCTAAAACTTTGAGAGGTCCTGAACCAGCTCCTGAGGTCAGAATCTCGAGCTTAAACTCCTGATCGATGTAGCACTCATTTCCAATCGTTTCCACAATTTGAACTTTGGTAGGGTCAGTTTGTGGATATTCAAACACAGCAGTAATAGGTGAGTTCTCTACTTCCTCATTGTCGTATCGGACAGAGACAACGTATCTGTCTTCCTCTGTTGGTGCAAACTCTGCATCGTAGTAGTTGTCGCTGCTCTTTCTTACGTGCAGGTGTACTACACCAGTTCTTTCGCCAGTTGCTGCCATTCTCATTTCTTCACTGATCGTGCTTTTCAGTCCTTTCCCAATAGATTTTAGAGCTCCCTCACGTTTCAATTTTGGCTTCACTCTCAGGAGAAGAGCTTGCCCAATGCAGCAATTTAACACCTTGGGAATTGGATCCACCTTATTGGGTGTGCCAGCCTTCTCCATAATATACACTTCTGCGGTTGGCTTGGTAGGGTAGTCTAGTGACGGTTTCTCCAGGATTGTGATGCTGTACGGGCTACCGGGTATGTTTCTTCCAGCCCAAGTGACATGCAAGGAATGCTGCCCAGTGATCATGGGTGTGAAGGTTACTGAGTAAACACCAGGAGTTCCAGCAATTTCTCCCCATGTTACTTTTGACTTTCTCTTCCTCAATCCCATACTGTGAGTGGTGGCTCTTATGTTGAGTTCTCCCACTGCCTGCACTGCTTGCGTCTATCATGAAGGTCACTTCACTGCCAACCAAAGCACTTCCAGGGTACTCCCTGAAGATACACTTTTGTGGATTTGGTGGATCTCCGGACCGAACTACATGTGGACTACTCGGAAGCTCTCTGTCTTTGATGAAGACGGTGATGCTGTAAAGACCAGGCTTTTTTGGAGAGAATGTTATGTGGTATTTCCCCTTGTTATACCGCCCTGTATATTTGGTGATTCCGCCCGAAGCAACGTGAATTACATTTGCCCTGATGTCACTCTCTTTTGCACCATTTGGGACATTAACACTTAGTGAGACTGGTTTTCCATGGCCAACGGTCATCACTTTGGCATAATCTGTTACCCTGATAGGGAGTGGTGTCTGGGGAATATCATTACCGTCCCAAGTTATCTTCAGGTAGTGGGTACCTTTCACCTTTGGGACATATGACACATCATATATGTTGTCCTCATCTTCTCTAAGCTTTATGACAACATCATACTCCCCGCCATCCGGAGACTCGACTCTGGCCTCCAGTGAGCCTTTTCCAGCACCAGCAGTGCTAACTGCCAGCTGAATATCGTAGTTGGTGTCAAATATCGTCTGAAGCTCAACTAAATCGGTCAGTAATCGGCACTTTTGTAGTTGGGGACTCGTGTAGGCAACCACAAAACAGCATTCTGGAACTCGAACTTCATTCATTTGGATGTCAATGCTGTAAATGTCTGGAACCTTGGGATCCACGGTTACCTCATAGTTTCCTCTGGCATTTTTCTTTACAACAGCACCATGCGGGCCTGTCCTATCACCAAAGACCACGGTGGTGATATTGGTTTTCTTGCTACTACCATCCTTGGATGGTACTTCAATAACGGTTGGTAAACCTATTTCCCTCTGGAGTGTTGGTTCAGGAACAGAATTGCTGTGTCTCTTTCTTGAGAGATCTATGCAAAAAGGTGACCCCGGAATATGCAGTTCATTGAAAAACACGCTAAGGTGGTAGATATCTATTTCCGTAGCTAGGAAGGTGACTT